TTCCATGCCAGTCGTCGGTGTTGTGCCGAATCGGTTATGTCGGTTGTATTGTTTTTGGATGAGGCATCCCAGAACTTGGCCCAGTATCGGTAGGTTCGTAGAGCATCGAAAGCGGTGACATTTTCGCCAGTGCTCGTGGACTGGTCGGACAGCTGACAGAGACGGACAATGGAATGTTCACCCCACATGTGGAATTGAGCGGATTCGGTACTGGGTGTGATGGCGCTGGACAACCATGGCATTATGGACGAGTAGGCCGTGACTGCCTCGCCGACTGCGCCTGTCTTTTCGAGCGCAGAACCTGTACCACGTCAGACCCGGGGTTTGCTTTTAGGAAGGAAAGGTTTTGCGTGTACCTCTAATATATGAGCCCTTTACCAAGCAGACCCGGGACCATCCATGTAGCGAGCCTCCTGCCTCGCCAGACAGCTCTGTTGCAACGACCCCAAAGTCCTTTGGAAGTCGTGATACAGCCTGGGCAAGCTCATCGAGTACGTAGTGCGTCCATGCAATACACACGGTGGCCTGGAAGACATCTTGGCCATGGCTGCTGTCTTCTTCAATGGCGGCAAGCAGCGAGGGGACAATCTGCGACAGCCCGGCAGAAGCGGTCGAGGAGGCGGTCGAGGGGCGCTGGGTACTATAGGCGGCTATCTGTGTTTCGGAGCGGGCTGTAATGGTGAGGCCTTGATCCGACGTTAACCCTCAGTTATAGCATGGAAAGGGAACAGGTTTTGCTGACACTTCCTGTGCGGTGCGTGTTTCTCTACCTTCCTGCACAGCTCAGGCACATCGGCCCATCGTCCAGCACATCTGGCCTCGTCCAATTGCTGGATGTAGCGCTTCGCTTTCTCGTTCTCAGGGGCGTTCTGTGCTGGTGTAAGCTATGGGCGCAGAGAAATGACGTTGCGCTGGAAGTGGCTGCTCCCTTGACGCACAAAGCAGTATGGTGGGCAACATACCACCATGATGTTGAAGATATGACTTTGGCACTACACAAAGTCGCGATACATGCACAGTCATGTTCGAGTAGCAATATTCCTTGCGACCGCAGCGGCCATGGCCATCCACATGTCACAGACCGACTGCAGCTCTGGTCCCACCCGGCCGGATTAGTCCCCACATCCCTGTCGCCTTAGCGCTTCACGGGCCGACGCGACCGCCGAGGCCCAAACTTTTTTGTTGCCATTGAATTGACAAGATGCGACTCTAATAGTTCAGCTCAAAGGAGACGAGCCGGATTGATTTGTACAATCACAGCAAACATAGCGCTCGACATGGCGCCCCTTGCTGCAGAACTCGCGACGCTGCGAGCGCTAAGCTTCCGCATCTCATCTACACCAACTTCGCAACTTCCCCAGCACGTGCCTGCAATAGCTGCATCCTTGGCCTCGTGCAGGACTATTCTTTCGTCGCCCCAGGCTTCAGGTACCAAGGCCACCTCCTCCGAATACTCTGTCGCCGTCCACAAGTACCGCACTCTCTTGTCTACTCTTCTCCAAGATCGCACTCTTCACGGAAGGTGGTGCGCCATTGTCTTGATCAAAGCGACCATTGAAGTCGGAGGTTGGGAAACTTTGCAAAAGAGTCTGCCCTGGGTTCGCGGTCTCCTGGGATTCCTCAACAAGCCGGACCCACCATCTTCGAAGAAACTGTGCATCATCACTCTGACACGTATCTTTTTTCTCACGAGGGAATATCCGACACTGGTTCGCGAAATCACCACTCCATCCCTAACACCTTTCGTACAAGCGGGACTCCAGATAGCCAACACGGCCAATGTACCGGATTCTTTGCTGTTAATAGTCCTGGAGAGTTTCAGCCAACTGCTACCCCGGCATCCCACAGTCTTTCGATCATACCTCAAACAGCTCCACCCACTCCTAGCCCGCTTGGTTGCGCCCACACCATCCACCAAGCTGAGCCAAGAAGAAATTTCTGGATTCAGATATGGGGTTAAATCCGATATTGCTGCCGCTGCACGCCAGCTCTATGCGCAGTTGCCTTATTGCGCACCCAAAGGCACTTCTGGTGAGGATTGGACGAAATCCGTCAAAAGTGTGGTCAATAGCGCCCACCAAACTGCAGATCATGTCTTCCGCGCTGTAGTGGAGGATTGGCAGTCTACTTCCCGTGAAACACCCTTGACGAATGGCCATACCATCAATGATGAAACCCAGGATCTGGAACCAAGCTCAGGTCTTCCACCTTGGTTAGGCATTTTCGCTGGTGGTGAACGACTGTTGGGACTCATGTATCTCCTGAAAGAGTACATAGAGGGTCCAACTCCAAGCACTGTCTACTTGGACGTCGGTTTGATCGTTGACTTGATTTCCAGGATGCTCTCCATCACCATCCCTGTATCTTCATCCAGAAACTTCCAAAACACTATCCGCATGAATGCGCAAGTCAGCAAAGAAGAGCGAGAAAACCTCTGGCTGTTGATTCCAGAGGTGCATGTTGCTGCGATCGAAGTGCTTTTATCGCTAGCACACAGGTCTCAGTCGAGCACAATTGCGTTGGACTCCATCATCATTGATCAACTTGTCTGGGTCTTTAATGCGGAGAGGGACACAGTTCAAGTCAGAACAGCATGTTATGTGGCAACATCAGCCCTCTTAAAGAGATCTGGAGTTGCGTTCCACAAGTCTACGGTTGACTCTCTCCTGCCCCTTATCCGATCCTGCTGCGATGACCTGCTTCCCTCAGCTATAACTATCAATACAGCCAACAATATTCCCGGCCGTGCCAAGGCAAATGGCAACGCTCAGCCACAGACTTCTGCAAACGCAGACGCTTTCATGAGTGCCTCCAAAGAAACCGACAACTCCCTCGACGGCTATACAGGACTGTCCCAGGCTGCCTACAATCTTCTGCCTGTGTTACTCTCGGATATTCGTGCCCAGCATTTATCCGACTCTATGCGAGCTCGCCTAGACCGCACTGCAATTCTCGCGCAGCATAAGGAAGCCATGGTAGCTAGCGTACTGAACCCTCCACCAAGCAAGAAGTTTGGCAAGCCTGCAGCAAGCATTTTGCCACTCATAGCTCGGTCATTTTCTGCTGAAAAGGACGTCGAGGGCATGCTGCGGCCACGAATGCCAGTAATCCGTCTAGGTGGTCAAGACTTGGACGCAGAAGAGGGAGAGGACGACATGGATGCTGAAGAAGAGGAAGAGGAAGTGGAAGAGGATGAAGCTGAGCCACAAGCTCCAGAAGAAATGGCTGATGGATCTGTAGAGCAGAATGCTGGTACTGCAGTGAAAGACTTCGCTATGACAGATGTTCTCCACACTGACGTACCCACATTCACCTCCTCCAGGCCGAACTCAGCATTCACAGATTCAGGGAATGCGCTTTTGTCAGAACCCCCAACCTCTGGTGAAGCAAAGCGACCAATCGGCAATGAAGGCCCTCATTCTCCTTCGAAGCGTGCGAGAACAACCCAAGATGAGCTGCAGCATACGCGCACCGCACAGCCTGTTTCCACGGCTGCTGAATCTTCTGACAACACTATTATCGATGCGACAGCATCAGCCACCTCAGATTTCACTGCTACCAACACCGCCTCTGCGATTCCAGAGCTTCCTGATCCGGGTGAAGGTGACGATGACAGCGACGACGATAAGATATCGCTAGTGCTTGGACAGGACACTGATGACGACTCGGATTGATAGTAATGGTAATCATACAAATCATGGATCTGTGCGTGCTTTGAATGTCCAGTGAAACTGTTGGCTGCAAACGCTCGTGGTGCACAGACCCTATCCGCTATCCATAGATTACAATACCACTTCTTACACCAGCACTTTCCACTTGCCCAGACTGTCCCACTGATGTTTTTAATGAATAACAGCCCTGCTTGATTCACGGGCCACATTACAACACCGTCACTATGCCAAAAGCCAGTCGTCCAGCTGTCACTTCTGGACCGTCCACCACAGCGAACTCCAGGAAGATGATCAAAGTCCTGATAAAACGCCCGCCCAGAAAACTCAGTGCATCCACTTCGCCAGATTCATCCACATCGCCGCAACCTCTACGCAAGTACCCGTGGGATTCTCACCAAGATGATATAGTAGTGAACAGCGTCGAAACGCCGAATCAGACAGGACGACTCACTGGTGTAGAACATTATCTCCAACAGCTCTCTCTAAAGAAAGACTACAAGGACATCTGCATAGATTTTGACGAGTACCGTCGCAACGGGCTGAGAGCGACGGACGCGTGGGACCCTAGTGATGAGCAGCCAGACGAAGAGCAAGAGCGATACAAGCCCCTCACGATCCCACGACCACCGCCAGTGTATACCGAGTACGAACACCAAATCTACACATGCACGACGACCAACCCCACCATATGTCTCGCCATAGCGCGCATCGCCCAGCATAACCTCCCCAACATAAACTTTCAGTCGGCGATTAACCACCTGCCCAACGTGCCCCTCGCCGCCCGGCTTCCCAAATTACAACTCGGTGTTTTGGCAGAAGATATACCCCACGAACGGGATGAAGACAACTACAGCATCGTTACCGTACTCTTCCTACCGCGGTTCTATCACGACGGCAGACACGCACTGGGATACTACACTGCCGATCCGCCTACAAGCAACTCCGCACAGGACGCTTGGCGGGCGCGCTTGAAAGATGTGCGACAGATGCTGTTTACGCCGTGTGTACTTGAGGATTTGGAGGCGTATGGGATGATTAGGTATGCGGCTGTTTCCAGAGCCCAAGATGGTATCGAGACGGGTGATGCGTCTGTGCAGAGTATTGGCGCCAGGGGAGGGAGATGGCTTCAGTATGATAATGTCGAGGATTGGGATGAGCGGAGGACGGCGTTCCATATTGTAGAGATGCTTTGGGATAAGCGGTTGGGTGTGGCGACGGGTTTGGAGGAATCATCCCTCTAAGGATAGTGATGTGTGAATGGGATGTGTTTTGGTCCAGAAACAAATTGATGTTTTCTCCGCTCAATACATCCATCAACTTATGCTTGAATTAATTCCCATGTTTCTTGACTTGCTCCTTTGCCTGAGCGCATAGAGAGTCCAACACTCTCTTCAACTCCCCCTGCTTATCGACTACCCCGGTATCGAACATTTCCGTTGCCATTTTGTAATGTGATGAAAATTTGTTTACAATTTTGACGAGGGCCGGCGACTTTGCTTCTTTGTTGATTTGGACGACGACATTGAGTTTTTTTTTTGGCCATGTCGTAGTGGCCGGCATCGATGCGGAGTTGAAACTCGGCATCTTTCGTCCTTGGTGGGACGATGCGGCGTCCCGCCACCGCCGATGCAGTGAATTTTGATGCCACTTTGGGCAATGCGAGGACTTTTTCTTTGAACATGTCGATGACTTTGGCCATTTTTGGTTTGAAAAACGTAACGATTGGCAAAAACGACGAAATTTTGAACGGGTTTCTTTGGAACTTGTGAATTTGCTTGAAAGAAGGTATCAACAAAAGCGTGCGTAAACAACAGCATACGCTCATTCCTGACCAAGTGTAACTTCTTTCTTTCCTCGATGCAACTACATACTGAGGCGTAACTTCTAACGTAGCGTACAGATGTAGTAGGACCTCTCCTCAAAACAGTAATGTCTATTTCCTCAAATCTCTTCCATCTTCCTCGGAGCCCTTCCTCCATAACATACTATATTGGCAGCATTACTCCTTCCTTCCTCTAGACCGCGCGAAATCGCTTTTTGAACGTTGCGTCCGCTAATTCGCAACCCAGTATGTCCTTCGTCCAGTAGCCTCACTTTCACAATAAGCGAAACTATGCACCACAGCTCACAAGCTTTGGAGCTGTGGGAAGTAAAACGGCGAAGTAGCCACATGATGCCTGCGTGATTTGTCACCGTTCGTGGCGGGGTAGGAATCAATGGGGAAAAGAGCCTATACGAAAGACATTTCAGGAAGGAGGTGGATGTTGTAATGGGTATTGCTTGGAAGGTATCTGGGACTTCGACTACGAACGTAAGCGGCGGATATACGTGACGGGTCTGGTTGGTATTGCTCGCTAGGTATTTCATGGCGCGGAGAGCGAATCGCACGAACCCTTTGAGACTTGCGTCATCACCGATTGCGATGAGTCCCTGTAGGCGAAGCATTCTCCGCAACTGCCTCGTCGAAAGTTGTCCACTTCGATAACGCATCATTCTGGGAGATGCTCTCGGATCATGTAAGCAGAATATGAGTCTCTCCATGAACTTCGTACCGTAGACGGAGCTGAAGCAGTCGTGTAGATCAATTAAGCTAACGAGATGCTCAGCTCGAATGGAAATGACTGGCGGCGAGCCCAATATCATTCGCAGCCGTGGTATAATGATTGACGATGCTTCTGCTCTGATCTGACGGCTAGTTGCGAGAATTGCGAGACCTGGGGTGACTGTGTTGACGAGCGTCACGTAATGTTGGTCATATCGTAGAAGAAACCTGTCTCGGTACGTTTTCATGCCCAGCTCCTCGTACACCATGAGACGTATATCCTTCGGGAGATCCAAGAATCGAAATGGTTTCTTCGCACTGTGAGTGATGGTCGATCTTCCGGGTGCAGTCGTGAGCAGAGGTGGATTTGATAGCTTTATAGGACCCATGGTTCGCATACAGCAAGATTGAGGCGACGGAGGGACGTCCCTGTTATGGTATCGTTCTCTACAACACGCGTTAGTCAACCTTTGACTCAGAACACACAAATATTTGCTGGCCAAGTACCGTTGAGGTTCCTATTGCAATAAACTAGTTCGTGTACTCAGATATGCTCAGGAGGACAAGTATGTCACATTAGACATCTGTCCAGGGGTAATTATACCCATCCCAACAATGATAAAAACTACGGACCCTTAAGGGTGATTGAGAGCACCCTGGATATTCTTTTGGATACGACCAAGTTTTCGCTACCATGCTCAATGTCCTGTTGATTTTTCTTATCAAAATATTGTGATCTTGTATGATAGACTAGAGCTAAAACTCTATTCACATTACTAATGTGGTGTAGTATCACGTGATCAGCTTGTGGATATATATTGCAATTTTCTTTCGTAAGCAGAGAGGCACCTTCTTCGATCAATTCTTTGCGGCGATCAAATATCAGCTTTGTTCTATCTACTCGATTGCGGGTCATGAACTTCATATCTTGAGCTCGGTCACGCATCGTGCCACACTAAATAAGCCCCGATTATGGCAGATTGGACTGGAGACGACTATTGTTTTCTAAAATAATTAAACTAATACGCTATACAGCAAACGTGTACGGATAAGTTAAGTTATAAATAGATGAGGTCAGAGTTCGCAACAAGCAAGTCAAGCAAGTTTTGACAGTCAACTTGACTTACTTGGCACGATTTTTGAATAAAATAATACTTGCTTGACTTGGGAGCAATACCAGAAGAACTTACTTGGTAAACTTGAATAACTTGGGTAACTTGGACGATTTTCAGAGGTAAAGTGTCTATTAATTACTA